TAATGTCTGGAAAGAGTACAGAGGGAAAATTGAACATAAATAGTTATGTTGTATTGGGGAGATTTTCTCTTTGATAGCGACTCTCTTCATGGGAAATAATATTCTTTTCAAAATTTCAGTTATTAACTTTGTGAGATAGTTCAGGAATCTCCATATGTAACTCAGGAGCCCTGGTGGTGTATGGTTAAGAGCTTGGCTACTAATCAAAAGGTCTGTGGTTATAACCCAGCAGATGTTCCATGGGAGAAAGATGTGGCGATCTGCTTCTGCAAAGATTTACAGCCTTGAAAATTCTAGGGGGCAGTTCTGCTCTGTACTATAGAGTTGCTATGAGTCGGAATTGATTCAATGACAAAAAGGGTTTTTAGATGTAACTCAGTCACTCTTTCCATACTCTAGATATGCACCCATAAATCCTTGAAAAAATTATGAAAAGGTTTACAAGCACACTTAACAAGTTCAAACTCTAACCTGTTATCTTGTTTTTCTTTTTCTATTTTTCATCTATAAAAGGCACCATTATTTTCTTATTTTATAGGGAATAAAATCTAAAGATCTTTGACTTATTCCTTCTCCTCATCTCCCATTTTTTCATCTCTTCACCCTACAATAGACGTACAAATTCTGCCAGGTACCCTGGTACCAAGTTCATCCGTTTTCCTTTCACAATGGCCTTTACTCAGAGGTTTGTTACTATACATTTACTGCCACCTCATACATAGTTTGCATTACATGTGTAGGATTCTACCTTTCTATCCATCTGAGTTAGCTTTATAGCACACACTCTTCCAAATTCTGTCTCAAACTTGGTTTTCACAGCCCTTTGCCTCAATAAAAGTAAAACGCTTGCCTTTTCAGATTGCACCATAATTGTTTCTTTTTTCCTAGCCTTTTTTTTAATTTTCCTCTGCCAGTAATTTCCTTTTCTTCTGCCTGTTGAATTATTATACACATATACTTAATCTCCTTTAATGATTTGATAATTCTACATGATAAATTGAATTTCCATAGCATTTAAAAAAATATCTAGCCAATTATTTTCAGTTAGACTTTATTCAACTTCATCCTTTCACTTTTAAGTATGTTTTAAACAAAACCATGTAAATATATAAATACACACACATAGATGTGTTTGTCTGTGTGTGTGAAGTGTACTGGAATTAATTGAGTTCTTAAATTTAAATTGGTAACATTTACTTATATAAAGTTACTCATTGAGAAATTAATGAAAACTAAGTTTATAATTGAATATTATGGATGACAGATATAGTCTGATATCAGTTTTTGGTTTATTACTGTTTATCTTTTTTATTGACTGCTAACCATAAGGTTGGCAGTTAAAATCCACCAGCCACTCCTGGGAAGGAAAGTTGGGCAATCTACTTCCATAGTGATACCGCCTGGGAAGCCCAAGGAGGAGTCACTATGAGTTGGGTCCGACTCCATGGCACATAACAACAACAATAACATTTAGAAATTGATACATTATTATAAACTAAAGTTCTCATATTGTTCAAAGTTTTATGGTTTCTATCTAATGTATTTTTTTTTAATTTTGAAAATAATTAAACTATATTTTAAGAATGAAATTGAACAAAAAAGTGGAAGCTTAAGAACAACTGCATGGATCTTTTCATTTTTCTGGGACTAAAACCAATGATCTCTCTGTTTTAGTCTTGTCTACCTATTGTCTAAACCACTCTTCCTTTTGCAAGTATGCTGTTCAATACAGGGTATGTTATCTTTAGTTCCCTAAATGAATTGCTCTATTTTATGCCTTCATGAATATATTGCTGTTCCATTGTCCATCTCAATTTCTATTAATCCCCTAAAACATAGGGTAGGAACCATCCACTCTGTGGCTCCATTCTAGAAGGTGCTAATAATCAGTTTACAGTTATCTTAATACTAATAACTTTTATCAAACTGAATAATCACATTTTATTGTATCTTATTCAATTTATCACTTCATTTCCTGTTTGCCTAAATCTGAAAAAAAAAAAAAAAACCCAGACATTTGAGAAATTTAACCATTTAATCAAAGGAAGATTCTACAAAATTTGATAGAGTAAAACCTTTTCTTGATGTGTGTGTGTCAATTTTGTCAATCTTTCTCTTAAAATGTGTGTGTGTCTATGTGTATCATTTACCTAAAATCAAGTCAATAGAAATAAACTGAATTTTAAGGATTTTAATCCAGAGACTTTTTCAGGTATTTTTTCTTACTTTGCAGCTTAGTATTACAATAAGCATTGCAATTAAAATAATGATACATTAATCATATAGGTTGGATTCAGGAGTATTCACAGCATAAAACTTAAACATTGAATATAATCTAATTAGCACTTTGATCATTAGAGAGAGAGATAATAAAGTTCTAACAGATCAATGCTGATTTTTGTTACTGCTCCTGCTTCCTCTTGATTCCAAATGCTGACATTTTTCAGGTCTTTAATATTTCCACCAGTCGAGGGAAATCAGTGGTTGATTCAATTTTGTCCATTTGCTTTTGACTATTTGTAAAACAGAATGATTATAGGATGCTAGGTAGAGATTTGTTGTAGTTCGAATTATTCTTGATAAGTCTTTCTTTTCTTTGCAAAGGAACCCTGAACTAGTTCCTAACAACATTTTTTTTTTTTTTTTAATATGAGCTCTTAATATTTACCAGGGAATGTGCTGGGTTTGAGGATCCACAGATGAAAAGACTTCTGCTTCCTTTTAATAGTCAAATTACCTAAAATGAATTCTATTTCTCTTTTTCTCTCCATGTTCTGACTAGTGAAGAGACTAAAGGGCAGAGATGTACCCAAATATTTGGAAATAAGGGGATATAAGAGAAACAAATTTTTTATGGAATGATGTATGGAGGAAATTTTGACATAGCTTGTTGTAATTAGCCGATTAAGAACAGAAAAAGACCTGAGCCAAAATGGTGGTAGTGGACATAGTGAAGATAGACAGATTCAACATATACTTGTCAAGGATTTTAACATAGCTGGGAAATGATTAGATATTGGGAATGAGGGAAGGTGAGTAGCTGAAAATGATTATTTAAGTTACTCTTTTACAAGGCAGTGGGTTAGTAGCATTAATGTGAAATAGGGAAAGGAGGAGGAAGGAACAGACTATATTTTTGCCAGCATAAACGTCTGCTCTCACCACTATTCTCCATTCTTATTGATTACATACTTGTCTAAATTTAAGACTTTAATTGTCTACATACACTTTTCTTTCTGAGGCAACATTTGGATTGGTGATCTATTTTAAGAAGAAGAGAGAAAGTTTTCAAGTCTAGTCTGGAGAAATAGCATTCTGAATATGAGCAGGGACTATAAATAGGTCACTAAGACCTTCAGAGTTGGACTGTTTTTAAGGAGGAGGGAAAACAGAAATTGGACATGAACAAGAAAAGTTGATGTTCCATCAAATGCAGTACTGTGCTTTAGCCTAATTACAAGTGCTCTACTCGCAGAGTCTCTGACAACAGGAACTACTTCTTACAGTAGAAATCTCGAAATGTGAAATACACTAGCAAATGTTGTAAACAGCTGTTATTATAATAGTCTGGTGAACCTCATCTTGGAATGGTTTCGGAAAGACTGAGAAAGGTTTCTGATTCAGACAAAGAATCAGGTAAGGAATGGGAAAAATTTGAGGTAAATTAAAACTGTGGGCTTGAGAAGATATATTGGTATTTGGATAGTGATGATGTGTTAACTTCTGCAACTGACTCTGACTGATTCAGTTTAAACAATATGCCCTGTGGTTACCTAGCCCCATCACCTCCTCTGTTCAAGTTAACAGTTTTGTTCTTGCAAAGAAATCATGTATTAAGTAAAGACAAATATCTCACTAACCTATTTTATGTAAATTGACCTTAAACAGCAGCAGTCTAGGCAGTCTATCCTCTAACCCTTACTTTCTTTTAAGGTTGGTAAGCCAACAGGAATGCAGTATTTTTCCTCACTTTCAATCTCATCTACAAAGTTTCACCTTAAGTCCTCACCTATGTCACCACTTGGCTACAAAATTCTGTTTTAAAAACAGATGACAAAGATGATGGTCATAGAGAATAATATTTATAAAACCAAAAGAAAAAATCTTACTCTTTTTTTTGAGTTTTTTTCTGGATATCCATCTAAAGAACTACTTTAAATTTTAGATAACCTTAACAGTATAAATGATAAATTATTTAGAATTCATTAAAATATGAAGAGTTTTGTAGGAACTCTGGTGGCACGGTGGTTAAGGGCTCTGCTACTAACTGAAAGATCAGTGGTCCAAACCCACCAGCTGTTTCTGTAAATGTGACAACTTTGGAGTCACTATGGGGAAGTTGTACTCTACCCGATAGGGTTACTATGAGTCAGAATTGACTCCATGGCACACAGCAATAAAGAGTTTTGTACAAATCAGAAAAATTAAAAATGTGATTTTTTTTTTTTACTACAGTACAGAGAAATATTACTATTTTAGTTGTATTTAAGGAATTTTTAATAAAACGACAATATGTTTAAAAATCTTTTCTTCAGTTGACTATTCATCTAGAGTCTTCTGTTAAGAATTTCAAAGTACTATATAAAATACAAATCATCAAGAACCATTATTTTTTATGACAGGCAGTTTTGTATAATTATATATATATATATATATATTTGTTGTTGTTGTTGTTGTTTGCCGTGTAGTCGGCCCCGACTCATAGC